CTGGGCCACAGCAGAGAGCTGGCCTGGAAGAGGGGCAACCGGGACAGAATCCGGCACCCTGACCGGGACTAGAACCCGTGGTGCCGGTGCCACTAGGTGGAGGATTAGCCTAGTGAGCCGCGGCACCGGCCCTATAATTCTAATTTTTAATTTTTAAAAAGATTTAATTATTTATTTGGAAGTCAGAGTTAGAGAGAGAGAGAGAGAGAATATATTCCATACATTGGTTCCTTCCCCAGACGGCTGCGATATGCCAGGGCTGGGCCAGGCTGAAGCCAGGAGCTTCTTACGGGTCTCCCACACGGTTGAAGGGGCCCAAGGACTTGGGCCATCTTCCACTGCTTTTCCAGGCATAGCAGAGAGCTGGATTGGAAGTGGAGCAGCCGGGACACAAACTGGTGCCATATGGGATGCCGATGTCACAGGTGGCAGCTTTATCCATTGCGCCACAGCACTGGCCCAACTGGACCATCTTCCACTGCTTTCCCAGGCCATAGCAGGAAGCTGGATTGGAAGTGGAGCAGTAGGGACTCAAACTGGCGTTAATCTTAGCCCTCTGTGCCACAACCCTGGCCCCAAGAGGGAGGGCTTTACAAAGATTCCAGCAAACCTTCCAGGGCAGTGCCCATGTCCGTTTTCTTCACTGTAGCAAGTTTCACAGTCTGTGCAAGTTTCAAAATGTGTCAAATTATGTACTTTAAACATGCAATTTATTGTAGGTTAATTTTTGACTAAATTGTTTCATTTGCAAATTGGTTACAAAGTGAAATAGTAAAACAACTAAGGTATCAAGGGTATTCTTTTGCAATGGTCTTGGATAAGACCCAGTTTTGTTTTAGAAAATGAGAGGCTCTGGGGCCAGCGCTGTGACATAGCAGGTAAAGCCACTGCCTGCAATGCCGGCCGACATCGCGTAGGGACACCAGTTCAAGTCCCAGCTGCTCCTCTTCCCATCCAGCTCCCTGCTAATGTGCCCGGGAAAGCCCTGGAAGATGGCCCGAGTGCTTGGGCCCTTCTGTCCCTGTCATTTTGGCTTTCCCAGGATGTCTAGTCAACCGCGTTATCCAGGTAGAGCCTCTGAGATCTGGGTCCACTCACTGAGCACAGAGCTTTCAAGATCCATCCGTTTGGTCAAGCAGCCACAGTGCCTTCTGGGGCTGAGCAGGATTTGCCTGGTGGCTAGATGGCAGTCTGTCCATCATGATTTGATGGACATGTAGGCTGTTTCCAGCTTTTATGAGCTCATACGCATTTACAAACAGATCTTTGGTTTATTAAGATTTACTTATCTATTTGAAAGGCAGAGTTGCAAAGAGAGGGAGAGACAGAGAGAGAAATCTTCCATCTGCAGGTGCACTCCCCAAATGCCCACAACAGCCAGGACTGGTTCAGGACAAAGCCAGGAGCCTGGAACTGCATCCGGGTCTCCCTCGCGTGTGGCAGGGACCCGAGCCCTCGGGCACAGGGCACTGGGTCAGAAGCAGAGTGGCTGAGACTGGGACCAGCACCCATATGGGCTGCCGGCATTGCAGGCTGCAGTGTAATCCACTGAGTTACAACACCAGCCCCTTGGGCAAGCAGCTTAACCTCCCCGAGCCTGCATGGTTGTGCGCAAGACGCGCACTCACAAGATTCTCTTGCCACTGGGAAAAATGTTGGATGGAGGCCCAGCGACCAGGACTCTCAGTACAAGGGTGACCAGCCACCCCAGTTTGGTCCCAGGGCCGAGGGTTTCCCCAGGGTGCAGGACTTTCAGTGCTAATACTGGAAGTATCCGTTAGGGCCGGCGCTGTGGTACAATGGGGAAAGTGGCTCCCTGCAGTGCCAGCATCCCATATGGGCACTGGTTCGAGTCCTGGCTGCTCCACTTCCAATCCAGCTCTCTGCTATGGCCTGGGAAAGCAGTAGAAGATGGCCCAAGTCCTTGGGCCCCTGCACCCACATGGGAGACCTGGAAGAAGCTCCTGGATCCTGGTGAATGAACCAGCAGATGGAAGATTTCTCTCTCTCTCTCTCTCTCTCTCTCTCCCCCTCCCTCTCCCTCTCCCTCTCCCTCCCTCCCTCCCTCCCTCCTTTTTTCTCTGCAACTCTGCCTTTCAAATAAATAAATTGATCTTTAAAAAAAAAAAGTTGCTTGCCCAAGCCCAGTGTGCCAGGGCTCCCAGGGGCTGAACTTCGCGGTTTGGTGGAGCTGGGTAGGGCTTTGCTGCCCTCTAGTGGCAGCCAGGGCAGCACCGGGGGCATGAGTCCTCGAGTGGACCTCCATCCGTTGGTGGGAGGCGCACACTTTCCACCCAGGGGGCAGGACCTCAATCCAGCCTCCGCCCCAGGCAGGTGCCACATGAACAGCCCCCACTAGGCTCTGCTGGCAGCGTGGTGCCGTCCACCTGTGAGTCCTCTGAGCACTCGGGCCCTCGGAGACCCAGGGCCACGCCACTGGGTTTGGGTCTGTGGGACCCTGGCCACTCTGTCCTCTGGGCCTTGGTTGTGTCTCTGTGAAATCCAGATGATCGGTGAGGCGGCGGCGCTGGCCACACTCGGACACCGGGGCTGCTATCACCGGTTCCTTCCCACCCACGTCTTTGCGCTGCCCTGTTCATTGCCTTGTTCCGTTGACTTCTCTTCCATCCAGCTGCTTCCTGCCAGGCACAGCTCAGCGCCAGGCCCTGCCCTACAGACAGACGCTGCCCCCACCCTCCTGGCTCTGTAGCTCTTTGCCAGTCCGCTGTCTCGTGCTTTCTCTCCCGTATTGATCGAATGCTCATCCATGTCTCACACCCACCACGTGGCAATCTCACGGGCACACGCACCACTCTGTACATTGTTCCGTTCCTGTGTTCTCCCAGAATGTTCTGAGAGCATCCACTACACCAGACTGGGGGTAGACGCTGGGTTCTGGCCCAGCCCTGGGACCCACTGTGGTCACCATTGCGCCAGCATCAAGCCATAGAGAAGCAGCAGCCACAAGAAGGGAGCAATTTACTGCCTGACAGGTGGCAGGAGGGGGCAATCAGGCACGGCATCACAGAGGAGGTGGCATTTAAGATGCATTAAGAAGGCTATGTGGGGCTGGCACTGTGGCAGAGTAGGTTAAGCCTCTGCCTGCAGTGCTGGCATCCCATATGGGCACTGGTTCAAGCCCCGGCTCTTCCACTTTCTCCTCTTCCTCCTCCTTCTTTAAAAACTTATTTATTTATTTAAAAGGCAGAGCTACAGAGAAGGAGAGAGAAAGAGAGGGAGGGAGAGAGAGAGAGAGAGAGAGAGAAACATCTTCATCCTCTGGTTTATTTCCCAGATGGCTGCAATGGCCAGAGCTGAGCCAATCCAAAGCCAGGAGCCAGGAGCTTCTTCCTGGTCTCCCACGTGGGTGCAGGGGCCCAAGGACCTGGACCATCCTCTACTGCTTTCCCAGGCCATAGCAGAGAGCTGGATCAGAAGTGAAGCAGCTGGGACTCGAACCGGCACCCATATGGGATGCTGGAACTGCAGGCGACCGCCTGACCCACAGCACTGGCCCCTGCTCCACCTTCAATCCGGCTCCCTGCTGATGGCCTGCGAAAGCAGTGGAAGATGGCCCAAGTGCTTCAGCCCCTGCACCCACGTGGGAGACCCGGATAGAGTTCCTGGCTCCCAGCTTCTGATTGGCCCAGCTCCAACCGTTGAGGCCATTTGGGGAGTGAACCAGCAGATGGAAAACCTAGCTCTGTCTCTCCGTCTCTGTCTGTAACTCTACCTCTCAAATATTTTTTTTTTTTAAAGGCGGCTATGTGGGAACTCTCTTGCGAGGAAAAAGACCTTCCCAGTAACGAAGTCTTTGTAGAGTGTTTGGAGGCACCTGGCTGCTATGCAGCGCGCTTCTGTAATGACCCCGCCCAGGCCAGCAGGGGCACCCAGGGACCTCCACCAAGTCCTCACCCTTGACCCCTGGAAAGCCGCTCACCATCGGGCAGCCAGGAGCAGCCTTTAGAGAACCAACCCAGCACCCTGTGGGTGCTCTCGCCTTACCCAGCTGTCCCTCCACCCAGGGACTCCAAGGGAGAGAGACTCCGGGCTAAGCAGGCAGCCGCCTCCCCTGTCGGGCCCTTGGAGACCCAGAGCCACACCCCCAGGGCTGCGTGCATCAGGAAATGGTGGTGGAGCCTCCCTGGGGGCCAGACCTTGCCCGGACACTGGGGATGCAACAGTGCCGACGACAAAACTTCTGTCCTCAAGGGGGCGACAAAGGACCACCAAACCAACAGACACCTGCGCGGCCCACGAGGCGCGCACCTGCCGCTGGAACGGGTGTGTTCGCTAATTAGCAGAGCGAAGACCACGCTTGCCTGGGCCAGAGGGTGTCGGGAAGGGCTTATCGGAGGATTCAGACGAGAGCTGGGTGATTTTGGGGAAGGGTTCGAGTGGCTGTGCTGGCATTCTGGGTTAGACGCTGTCAGGAAGTGAGGCCTCTCCTGTGATTAGGTTTTATTTACCTATTTATTTGAAAGAGTTACAGACAGTGAGAGGGCGAGACAGAGAGATATGTCCGGTTCACTCTCCAAATGGCCACAACGGCTGGAGCCGCGTCGATCCGAAGCCAGGAGCCAGGAAAAAAAGCCAAGACCCCAGTTCAGAAGCCACCCATTGGGAAGAACCCTCCCTTCCCTGGAGGAGGGGCAGTTTGCCCCCACCCCACCCCCCGGGGGGGGCCCTCTACAGCTGATCGGACCAGGCCCACCCACACTGATTCGCTAAGCTCCTCTACCCAGCCGGCCGGGTTTAAATGTTGAGACCCCAGAACCACGCGTGGCCGGTGAGATCAACGTGTCCACCGACCACCACCCGACTGAGGGAGAGAAGCAACGGCCAAGGCTCGCGCCAGCCAGAGAGGGGGGACGCTCGGGCTTTCCCACGTCTAAATAGTGCGGCTCTGAATGAGCGGACACAGCAGTCCTGGGCTCTGCTCCTGAGGCCTGGGTGCCCAGGGCCCGGCCCGGCCAGGAGCCACGCCCACTCCACAGTCTCCGTTTGCTGGGGGCGGGGAAAGAGGCCACGCCCACGTTTGCACCGGCTCCTGCAAACGGGAGACGGGCCGGGCCGAGGAAGCCCCACAAAGGCCGGAGGCAAGAGCGGAAAGGGAGCAGGTGCTGGGAGCCATCCCGACGTCCACCACGACGGACATCAAGGGGACAGCAGAGGTCGGCTGCGGCCTGGCCGCCCGGGCACGGAGGGTCTCACTTCCCCCCCCCCCAGAGCCAGGGGCGTCTGACGGCAGGGAGTTGTTCGGAAACCGGAAATGAAGTCACGCAGCTCTGATCAACATAACCCACGCCGGCCCGGGACTCCGCAGGTTGCTTCCGCCCACCCACCCACCCTCCGCTCGGAGAGTGCGCATGCGTGGCCGGCGCGCCGTTCTGTCGTCATAAGTGCGCGCCGTCGCCGCTACTCCCCGCAGGAAGCGGGGGAGGGGGGAAACTGTCATGGCGAGCTCGGCCGCCTCCTCGGTGCGACCACCGAGGCCCAAGAAAGAGCCGCAGACGTTAGTTATCCCTAAGAATGCGGCGGAGGAGCAGAAGCTCAAGCTGGAGCGGCTCATGAAGAACCCGGTGAGACGGGGCGTTGGTTCCGGTCCGGCTCCTGGGGTCGGGGGAGGGGTCCATCTTCCCCGTCCCCAGGCTCGGGAACTCGGAGCCGCAACCTTTCTAGAACCGCTCTTGGGAAGGAGGAGCCCGCCCGGTGGGTAGTGAGCTTCGCCGCTCCGGGCAGCCTAGCCCTGGCGAGGCGGCGGGTCAGGAGCCTCCCCCGGGCCCGGGGCTGGTGGTGGGTTGCAGGCCAGCCCCTGCTCCCCGCGGTGCGCTTGAGGTTCCTCGGTTAGGATCGGAGGGCCCCCGGCAGGGCTGCGCTCACGGACGGTGTGCGGTTGAAACGTTGCAGGACAAAGCCGTTCCCATTCCAGAGAAGATGAGCGAGTGGGCGCCTCGACCTCCCCCGGAGTTCGTCCGAGATGTGATGGGTAAGGCGTGTGTGTGTGTGGCCCTAGCTTACAGGTTTTTAAAAATATGTCGTTATTTATTTGAAAGGCAGAGAGAGATTTTTCCATCCGCTGGTTCCCTCCCCATAGGGCTGCAACAGCCAGAGCCGGGCTGACCCACAGCCGGGAGCCGGGGGCGTCTATGAACCACGCTGTGCGCCTCTGGTTGGGGCCCGGAGTGGCTTCTTGCAGCGCTCACCTCCAGCGTCCCCGTGGCTGGGGTAGCGCGTGCTGGCCACGGCGGTTCATCTGGCGCTCTGCTCTCTCCTGGCTATAGGTTCGAGCGCCGGGGCCGGCAGTGGGGAGTTCCACGTGTACAGGCACCTGCGCCGCAGAGAGTACCAGCGACAGGACTACATGGACGCCATGGCCGAGAAGGTCGGTGCGCCCCGTGCCGGCGCTGGGAGACGAGTGGGCACAGCGGGTCGTGGCCTGTGGGAGCTCAGAATCCCTGCAGGTGCTCCCAGGAGGCCGGGAATGAGGGTGTCCCGGCACGGCACAGCCCCCACAAGCCCTGGCCGTTCCCTGTCCTCTCCTCTCGGCTGGTGTGAGGCGGGGTGCTGCCGTTGAGTCTGTTCTTGGAGAACTTGCATTTTGTAGCCTTGGGGCTGATAGTTCTTCATGACAGGCGTCAAATACTTGAATATTTTAAGAGCTTGACTATTGCTTAAAGTTTAATTCTAAACACCGGAAACTTACTCAGCTGGAGGGGCCGGAACAGCTCTCCCACCCTCTTAAAGCCCTCGTGGGACATTGCGTTCAGTTCACTTTCTAGTGACTTTTGGAGTGCTTTAACCCCCGTGTCAGGTGAATTGAGTTGAGGCAAAACAACAGTATTAAACGCTGTGTAATGGTAGGCATGTTCAGGCGTGGACTGAAGTCTGCAGCCTCTGTCGAAATGCTCCCCCCAAAAAAATACTGGCTGACAGATGAGTGAAGGCATAGATAGGGGATATGATGCCGTAGCGAAACACTGACTGTAGAAGCGAGGCAGTGAGGTCTGTACTGTGTAATGCCTGTAGCTTCTCTGTATTTGACGTTCTCAAAGTGAAACAGAAAATAAGCCAAGAGGCAGCCAGGATACAGAAAAAAATATGTAACAGCTTCCCGGAACGGCCAGAATTGAGTTGGGAGAACTCTGCTTGGGGACTGAACGGGGCTGTTGCTGTTTTTCACCCCGAGCCTGCTTGTCCTGCAGCCTCCCTCGGGCCAGGTGTGGTGGTTCTCCAGTGGCCCCTGCGGCGGGCTTGGCACCGGCAGGAGTGTGCTGTGTGTGTGCAGATGATCAGACACATCTTTTTTTTTTTTTTTTTTCCACAGGCAGAGTGGACAGTGAGAGAGAGACAGAGAGAAAGGTCTTCCTTTGCCGTTGGTTCACCCTCCAATGGCCGCCGCGGCCGGCGCACCGCGCTGATCCGATGGCAGGAGCCAGGAGCCAGGTGCTTCTCCTGGTCTCTCATGGGGTGCAGGGCCCAAGTACTGGGGCCATCCTCCACTGCACTCCCTGGCCACAGCAGAGAGCTGGCCTGGAAGAGGGGCAACCGGGACAGAATCCGGCGCCCCGACCGGGACTAGAACCCAGTGTGCGGGCGCCGCTAGGCGGAGAATTAGCCTAGTGAGCCGTGGCGCCGGCCAGATCAGACACATCTTAATTGTGAACTGCTTTGGGGGAGGGGCTGGAGCAGGTTGTCGTCTAATGTATTTATGATTTAAACACGGCAAGTTAAAGTTTTTGTGTACTTAATAAAGATCCAGAGGAAATCCACACAGAGGCAACACACAGGCTGTGAGGTTTGTTCCAGAAAGGTTAGGGAATCCTTGTCCGTTTCAGTGACTGGTAGGGCACAGCAGGGTATCAGGGTCTTTTTTTGTTTTTGTTTTAAAGACTTATTTGAAAGGCAGAAGGACAGTTCCAGAGAGAGCAGGGTCAAAGAGGGTCTGCTGGTCACTTCCCAGATGCCCACAGCAGCCAGGGCTGAGGCAGGTCAGCGCCAGGAGCCAGCAGCTCCATCAGGGGCCCCCACCTGGAGCACGTGGGCCACGAGCTGCTCCCCCCCAGGTGTGTTATCAGGAAGCTGGACTGGAGGTGTGGTGTGGTGGGAGCTCACAGCAGGTGCTCTGCCCTGTGGGACATGGGCAGCCCGAGCAGCCGCCCAGCCCGCTGCCCCACAGCGCCCACCCCTAAGGGCAGCTTTATTCGGTGTGGAATGATTGGCACATTGGGAGATACAGGTTCAGTTTAGAAGCCAATCGAGGCCGGCACCACGGCTCACTAGGCTAATCCTCCGCCTTGTGGCGCCGGCACACCAGGTTCTAGTCCCAGTCGGGGCGCCGGATTCTGTCCCGGTTGCCCCTCTTCCAGGCCAGCTCTCTGCTGTGGCCAGGGAGTGCAGTGGAGGATGGCCCAAGTGCTTGGGCCCTGCACCCCATGGGAGACCAGGATAAGTACCTGGCTCCTGCCATCGGATCAGCGCAGTGCGCCGGCCGCAGCGCGCCAGCCATGGCAGCCATTGGAGGGTGAACCAACGGCAAAGGAAGACCTTTCTGTCTGTCTCTCTCTCTCACTGTCCACTCTGCCTGTCAAAAAAAAAAAAAAAAAAAAAGCCAATCGAGCAGTTCCACCAAGTGGAGGCAGGGCTGGGGCTTCTGTAACAGGAGGAGGGGCAGGGGGAGTGAGCCACTCAGCATCCTCGGAGATGAAGAGGTTGAGCCCAAAAACCGTGCAGACCAGGTGCTCGTGAACTTCGCCAGTCGCGGAAATGCGCAGCCAGGCCCGGTGCTGGTCCCGCCAGAGCTGCCTGGTTGCCTTTCTCCGCGCGGTGTCTGGCGGCCGCTCCCTGCAGGGCTCCAGGCCCCGCGGAGAGACTTTGGCTTTCCCTCTGAGCACTCTGCAGCCATCTGGACTTGACTGTGTCGTTGGCTTTCCTGTAGTCAAAGCTGATTGCCCGCCTGCCCCCAGGACTGGGCTCCTCTGGACCCTGCCTGTGTGCAGGCCCCCCAGCCCTGGCAGTGCCGACCGCGGCTCTGTGCAGGCACCTCTTCCCTCCGTGCTGGCGCAGCGGAGCTTGCCGCCAGTGACTTTGTAGCAGTGGATGGGTTTATGGCTGACAGGTGCTTCTCTGTAGTTTGTCTCCATGAGTCTTCCTAGAGCCCTGGGGGAGACCACTTACGATGCCCCCCTCCCCCCTGGGGAAAGATGACGCCGAGCCTAGCACCAGAGAGCTGCCTGTGTGTGCCAGGCTGGATTTAGTAGCAGGTGTGTTATGCTGCTTGGGTAACTGTTGCTCAGGTTGGGACTTCAGTCCCATGTCTGACTGTCCGGCGGTCCCTAGATGGCGTCCAGGCCCTGGTAGCACAGATGGGCAGTGCTGCCTGCGCCTCGGGACCCCGGCCTTGTGTGTGTGTGTGTGTGTGTGTGTGTGGTGCACCATGTAGCATCTCGGGGAGTCGAGTCCCTCACCCTTAGACAGCCGCACGTTGATGACCTGCCCTGGCCGGGTGTGCCTGTAGCACCCACCTGTGTGCAGCCACCTGCAGCCTCCCCACACCAGCGTGTGCCTGAAGGTTGATTTTTTTTTTGCAGCAAAGATTGGATGCAGAGTTTCAGAAGAGACTGGAAAAGAATAAAATCGCTGCGGAGGAGCAGACAGCAAAGCGTCGGAAAAAGCGGTGAGAACCGTGGCGGGCGGGGGCGGGGCAGGCCAGTGAGCGAGCCGGTCCCGCCGGGAGGGCCCCATCGCCCTGCAGAGTGCGCGGTGACCTGCCTGCAGCTGAGCAGCCCGCTGGGGGCTGCTGTCACTCCCAGCACCTGGGGCAGGTCCGGCTCCTGCAGAGCTCAGGGGCCAGAACTCTGGGGAGCACTCGGGCCTCTGTGCTGCCCTCAGTTCGGTGGTTTTCAGAGTGACGGAAAAAGAGGGAGAGAGAATAAGAGACCTTTGATCCTCTGGTTTATTCCCCAGGCGCCCACAGTGACCAGGGCTGGGCCAGGCCGAGATCAGGAGCCTGGAACCTGTCTCTGTCTTTCTCTCTCTGTAACTCTGCCTTTCAAATGAATTGATCTTTTAAAAAAGTGTTTAATTTTTTTTATAAATTTTTAAGATTTATTTATTTGAAACTCAAAGTTACAGAGAGGCGCAGAGAGAGAGAGAGAGGTCTTCCATCCTTTGGCTTACTCTCCAAATGGCCAGGCTGATTCAGAGCAAGGAGCCAGGAGCCTCTTCCAGTTCTCCCACATGGGCACAGGGGCCCAAGGACCCAGGCCGTCCTCCGCTGCTTCCTCAGCCGCATTAGCAGGGAGCTGGACCGGAAGCGGAGCAGCCAGAACCTGAACTGGCGTCCACATAGGATGCCGGCACTGCAGGCAGCGGCCCCACCTGCTATGCCACAGCACTGGCCCCTATAATGTATTTTTTTTTTAAAGATTTATTTATATGAAAGGCAGAGTTATAGAGGGAGGGAAGAAGGGAGAGACAGAGATCTTCCATCCACTACAACGGCTAGAGCTGGGGCAGTCAGGAGCCAGGAGCCTCCAGGTCTCCCATGTGGGTGCAGGGGCCCAAGCACTCGGGCCACCTTCAGCTGCTTCCCCAGGCGCATTAGCGGGGAGCTGGATCAGAAGTGGAGCAGCCAGGATTCAAACTTGCTCCCGTTACTCGCCACACCACATCTCCGGCCGGGCCCCGACGTTTGTTTTCTAGACTACAGTAAGGCAGTTAACCTGTGTGTGGTGCATTTGCAGCCAGAAGTTAAAAGAGAAGAAATTACTGGCAAAGAAGATGAAACTCGAACAGAAACAGCAGAAAGAAGGTGAGCAGCAGCTTCCTTCCTTGGGTGCAGCCTCGTGCCAGTGTCGACTGCGGTGGCCGAGCCTCGGGAACCGCTGGGGTTGAGGGCCGCGGGCGCTGGGCTGGCCCGGGGAGAGCTGGCCGCTCGTCTGTAGAAGTTAGGGCTCATCTGGCGGCAAGGGTGAGAAAGCCAAACCAGTCTAAGCAAAAAGACAGCTGTGGGCGCCCAGTGAGTTGGGGTGGACGCCCTTCAGGCAGGGCTGAGGGAGCCCAGGGACCACGGCCATTGGTGCTGGCTCCTGTCTGCCACCACTCTCGCCTTTTAGTTGGGAGGGGCCTGCAGCCTGTGCATTCCTGCCCACGAGGGAAGACGACAGGGCTGCCCAGTGCTCCTGCCACAAGCGGCCCTTTGTCTGAGTGAATCATCTGCTGGGTTGATCGGTGCTTTCGGCTGCGCTTTAGCAGAGAGGAGCGTGTTTCCTTTATGTGGTGAGAAGTCTGGTGGCAGCCTGTGGCCCAGCAGCCCTGTGCTTCTCTTGGCTTTGCCCAGGGGTGTGAGATGGCTGCCACAGCTCCTGCCATCACACTACCCCTATGCAGGGCAGGCAGGAGGGGCCAGGGGTGGTCTTTTTGTACTGAAAAGCAGAGGGTCCCCCTGAAGCCTACGCAGATGTCACCTCGTGGACTAGGGCCTTTTGCCATCCCCAGCTGCCCTCAGGCTGGGTGAATAGCAGAGTTACCGTAACTTAAACCTGCTGTCTTCATCCCTGGGAGCCGGGTGTGTCGCCACCCAAGAGGGAATGGAGGTTCTGTTAACAAGGAGCAGTAACTGGGTCAGCATCCCACTGCCCGTGCTGCAGTGCCGACCCAGGAAGCCCACAGGCTGAGAATGAGGGGGGGATGGGCCCCGCCCCCGCTGCAGAGGGGCGAGGGTCAGCTGTCCACCAGCTCCAAGTCCGCGGCTGTTCCCTGATTGACGGCTTGCTTCCTGAGTGGACGACTGAGTTCCAGTCGCAGGGGAAATCAGGCTTTGACGATGAAATGTGCTTGGCGCCCTCCCGGAGCAGCTTCTCGTGAGTGGTGAAGGCACCGGGTGACACATGGTGGATGCCTTGGCCGCTCCTCCCCTTTCCTAGGTGAAATCAAACTGCTAAAATGTGGCTGCTCCTCCGGTCTGCCATCAGTCACGACACACGCCTCCCCACGCCCGCCCCTCCTGGGGACAGGCGTGCTTGGCCCACGGGGAGGACTGGGTGTAGAAGTTGGTCTCGTTCTGCCCAGGGACACCGTAGCTGGGGCTCCTTGTCCTAGGCTCTGGGCACCTTGGCCCTCCCTCTTGGGGGTCTGATTTTGCGGCTTCTTGATGTGATTGTTTGCATGTTGAGTGATTTTCTGGAGGAATTCTGTAAAGCCTTTGTTTTTATTTTTCCGTATGTTTTGTTCATTATATTTGCCATACGTGTATCCTTCCATATGTTTTAAGAATAAATTTATAGGCAGGATGAGTTTGACCTTGAAAAACCTGTATTCTGGGGCCAGTGCTGTGGCATAACAGGTAAAGTTGCCATCTGTGGCGCTGGTTTGAGTCCCAGCTGTTCTACTTCCAATCCAGCTCTCCGCTAATGCACCTGGGAAAGCAGAGGAAGATGGGCCAGGTCCTTGGGACCCTGCACCCACGTGGGAAACCCGGATGAAGCTCCTGGCTTCGGCCTGGCCCAGACCATGCCACTGCAGCTATCAAGTGGAGGATAGATCTCTCTCTCTCTCTCTCTCTCTCTCTCTCTCTCTGCATCTCCCTCTTTGTAATTGACTTTTTCAAAAAAAGAAAAGAAAGCCTGAATTCTTTATCAGGCATGGCCACTGTAGTCTGTGCTTGGTCAGCTTCGTTAGTGGTCAGTGCAGGCTGAGAGAGCGCCTAACCATTTTTAAGTTAGTTATTCATTAGAAAGGCTGAGAAAGAGAGAGAGAGATCTGTACTCTGGTTCATTCCCCAGGTGGCCACAATGGCTGGGGTTGAGCCAGACCAAGCCAGGAGCCCAGAACTCCATCTGGTCTCCCACATGGGTGGCAGGGCTCCATCTTGCGCTGCTTTGCTGGGTGCATTAGAAGGAGCTGGCGGGGAAGCGGGGCAGCTGGGACTCAAACCGGCGCCCACATGGTGTGCTGGTGTCGCAGGTGGCAGCCCGGCCCACTGCACCACAACGCCCAGCCACACATCTTGTTTTAAATGGAGCCGTCTGTGCTGTGTCCCCGTGCGGAGCCACACCGTGGGGCAGTTTTAGAGCAGGACTGCTGTCCTTCAGTCGCCAGGACATGAACGGTAGTCAGAGGCCGCAGCGGTCTTTCTAAAGCCTGAATGAAATAGACTAGAAAGTGTCAAAGCGTGGAGCACTTTTGTGTGAGATTCCCTTTAGCTTCCACGCGGGCTCTGGGCTGCGGTCAGACAGCTTTGAAGGTCATTGATTAGTCCCTGGCCCTGCTCTCAGGCTGAATTGAGAAGCTGGCACCGTAGCTGGCAGACCTGGGAGAGCGTGCGTGCCGCGTGCCAGCGGAGCAGAGTGGCATTGGGGACACCAGCGTCGCAGTGGCGATGCCACTTGCCTCCTCTTCTCCATTTCCTCCCCGGTTTCCCAGCTCGTGGAGCTTCTCGGCGTCCCAGGGGACTGTGTAGAGCGGCGTGCTAATGCTCAGCTGGGCCACAGCGTGGCTGCAGGGGCCTGCTGGGTTCTCTGTGGGCTCGGAGGTTGGTTTTTCTCCTGACACACAGTGGAGGGCAGTGGAGGGCACTGTTGGAGAGGTCGAACCTGCTGTCTTCTGTGCTGGCCCGGCACTCCCTGAAGATGCCCTCAGGGCGGGACTCGCCTGTGACAATCCCGGAGGCACTCAGCCAGGTCTGTGACGGTTGAGCCTTGCATTCCCAGGATGGTATTGTGACACCCGGCACGGGCCTGCCTACCCCAGAGGTCCGGGGCCTCGGGTGGTCTGTTACAGGATGCCTATGAGCAGCTTCCCGGCCTCGGCACTGTTTACTCTTGGGGCCACGTGAGTCTTTTTTTTCCCCCCAAGATTTATTTTTTATTTTATTTATTTTTAAAGATTTATTTATTTTAAAGACAGTTACAAGGAGAGAAAGAGAGAGCGGTATCTTCCATCTGCTGGTTCACTCCCCAAATGGCCACAGTGGTCAGGACTGGGCTGATCTGAAGCCAGGAGCTTCTTCCAGGTCTCCCACATGATGTGGGGGCCCGGGGACTTCCCTGCTCTCCCAGCACATCAGCAGGGAGCTGGGTCGGAAGTGGAGCAGCTGGGACTCCAACTGGGGCTCCTGGGCTGCCGGCTCTGCGGACAGCAGCTTACTCTGCAGCACCACAGCGCCGGCCCTGATTTGTTTATCTGAAAGACGACAGAGATTGTCTGTCCCTTGGTTCATTCCCCAGGTGGCAGCAACGGCTGGGGCTGGGCCAGGCGGAAGCCAGGAGCCAGGAGCTCCATCTGGGGGTCTCGGGTGGGTGCCAGGGGCCAAAGCACTCGGACCATCCTCGGCAGCTTTCCCAGGTGCATGAGTGGGGAGCTGGCTCAGAAGTGGAGTAGCTGGGACTTAAACCAGCACCCATAGCAGTGGTTGCTGGCTTAACCGCAACACCCGGCCCCTGAGCATACCGTGTTGGAAATCTATCCATACCTTGTGTGTCATCTGAGAAGGAGGTACTACATGACCATTTTAAAATTTTGGGAGGGACGTTGAGGCACAGTGGGTTAAGCCACAGGTTGGGATGCCCACTTCCCGTATTGGAATGCCTGGGTTCGAGTCCTACCTCCTCTTTTTCTTTTCCTTTTTTTTTTTTTTTTTTTTTTTAAGATTTTATTTATTTGGGAGGTAGAGTT